GACAAGATCTCGGCTCGTGCCCTCCCCTGTGTCTTTCTTGGCTTTCCAGTGGACGCCCCTGACTTCAAGTTTTACCACTTGCCCCTCCACTGGTTTCTCGACTCCCGTGACGTCACCTTTGACGAGTCTGTGTCCTACTGCGCCCGCTACCCCTGTCGAGGTCTCCAGGTCCCCCCCCCCCTCCCCTTTTCCTCGCACCCGCTCCCCTCGTGCTCCCGCTCCTCACGTACACCAGCCCCCCCTGGTCCTGCCCCGTCAGGTGTGTCCCACGCTACCCCTCTCCTCTCGGTAGCATGTCAAGTACCACCCCCTTCCCCATAGTCGTCCTCACCGTCACCACAGCTGCGGTCGGTACTACCGCGACTGGCTGTCGTCCACTCTGGGGGTGTTGGTGCTGGAGGCACGGTCGCTGGAGGTGCTGGGTCTGGGTGCGGGAGCTGGGGGTGCTGGCACTGGAGGTGCTGGTTCTGAGGGTGCTGGAGCTGAGGGTATTGGCACTGGAGGTGCTAGTTTTGGGGGTGCTGTAGCTGAGGGTACTGGCAATGGAAGTGCTAGTTCTATGGTTGCTGGAGTTTTTGGTGCTGGCATTGGAGGTGCTAGTTCTGGGGGTGCTGGAGTTGTTGGTCCTGGCACTTGGGGTGCTAGTTCTGAGGGGATAGGAGCTGGAGACACTACCTGTTGCCACGGTCGTTCGGGTGGCTCGAGGGGTTGCAGCAACACAGCTGGACGTTATCGTGACGATTTCATCGCTTGGCAGGTCGGGCATGCTGACACGTAGCGCTGCACGTCCGACGCCATGTCGGGCCATTAGTAATTCCGCTGCGGCAGCTTCTCTGTTTTGTCGACGCCGAAATGCCTGGATAGGTTAGAGTCGTGAACCTCCTGCATCAGCAGCTCTCATAAGGGTCGGTAGGAGGGTACCCAAACTCGGCTGGTACCGACTTTTAGGTGATAGCTCCCGTGTGGTGTGGTGGCCCGTTGGTGTTGATTCGTCCTAAAGAACCTATCGGTTTTGTATCCGTGCTTGAAAAGTCCTGCCCATAAAGGGTTAAAATGGACGATTAGTACAGCTGCGGTCTGCATAGATGGGCGGGTCAGGGCGTCGGCGATGTTGTCGGCGCCCTTTTTGTACGTGATGGTGTAGCTGAAATTTGACTCGAGGTAATCGAGCCACCTGATTTGTCGCGGGTTGAGCTGTGGTTGGCTGTGCATGTACTGTAATGACTTGTGGTCTGTCCTGATCGTGACGTCGGCTCCCGTGAGATAACAGCGCCAGATACGAAATGCATGCACGATGGCGAGCTTTTCTTTGTCGCATTTCTTTCTCCGTGACTCGTACGCGATTGGTTGCAGCCCATTGCCAAAATCCTGTAGAAGGACGGCGCCGACGGCGAAATCGCTGGCGTCCGTCACGACTTCGAACGGTCGAGATGGGTCTGCCAGCCGAAGCACCGGGGGTGAACTCAAAATTTTCTTGAGCTCGTCGAAGGCCAACTGTTCTCTCTCCCCCCAAAGAAATTGCACGCCCTTGTGCAGAAAGATCGGTTAACGGCCTGGTTACTCCCGCCATATTCGGTACAAAACGGCGGACGTAGTTAACGAAGCCGAGGAAACTCTGCAACTCTGTGATGTTCGTAGGCGGCTTCCACTCCGAAATCACTGTCACTTTGCGAGGGTCAATTTTAATACCCTCCCCTGAGACCACGTGCCCCAGGAACTCCAGCTCCGGCTGTAAGATCTCGCACTTAGAGCCTTTCGTAATCAGTTGGTTCTGCTGTAAGCGCCGGAACACCTCCTCCAAATCCCGTAAATGTTCCTCCAAGGTCTTGCTGTACACCAGGATATCGTCCAAGTACACGATGACTTTTTTGTCCAGCATGTCCCCGTTCATGGTGAGCTGGAAGGTCGAGGGCGCATTCGTCAACCCGAACGGCATCACTGTATACTCGTAACTGCCGTAGCAGGTGCGAAAAGCGGTCTTTGGGCAGTCGTCGGCGACCACGCGAATTTTATGGTAGCCACCTCGCAAATCGACTTTCGAGAAGAAGCGAGCCCCGCGAAGCTGATCCAGCAGGTCGTCCGCTCGCGGCATCGGGTAACGTGACTTGATTGTGATCCGATTCAGCGCTCGATAGTCGATGCACATGCGCAGGCCTCCGTCCTTCTTCGGCGTGAATAGTATCGGGGCGGCGAATGGGGACGTGCTCGGCCGGATGAATCCCTTCGAGAGCAGATAATCCAACTGCTTCCGCAACTCGTCGAGCTCCGGTTGGCTGAGCCGCCATTGGGACCGAACAGTTGGTTGCGCGCCTGGCTCCAGCTCGATCCTGTGGATTTCTGGTCGTTGAGGTGGCAGCCCATCAGGCAGGTCATCCGCGAAAATTCCGGGATACCTCCGAATTATGCTCGCCACGTCGTCAGGTACAGCAGCGCAGAGCGTGTCAATGTCGGCGATTTTACCGGACGCAACCACCTCGTACAGCTGTACGGCGTAGCCTTGCGCTCCCCTTTTTATCGCTCGCTTCAACGTTATCGCGTTGACACGTGTAGTCATCGGCTCCGGCTCCGCCCATTTCGGAAGCGTCACACGGCCTTTGTTGCTCAACACCGTGGATGCTCCCATCGTCCAGTCGATCGTTGGATTATATCGCTGTAGCCAATCTCGTCCCAGCAGCACATCGCAACCGTCCAGTGTTGTCGCCGGCATCTTCATTGAAAACCCAAAAATCGTCGCCACACTTCATCCGAAGTTCTCGCAACTCGTCCCTTATCGCCCGCGGTGTTCCGTCCACCAGTCGTGCGTCAATCTCGGGCAGACACCTGTCCAGCTTGACTCCGATATTTTTTGTCGTTGCCAGGTTGACAAGACTGTGGCTCGCCCCACCGTCAACGAATATTTTTATTTTATGCCCATTAACCCTCCCCACGACCAGCACAGGCATGTTCATCCACCTTATTCGTCCGATTGCGGTCGATAGCCCGACCGCTACTGACTCGTCTCTTTTCCCGACCCCTCTCCGTAGTTCCTGTTCCCCTGTTTCAGCTTCGGGCAGTCTTTCCTCCAGTGGCCTGGTTGGTTGCAGTTGAAGCACGTGTTTGGTGCACGTCTCGGCGCATCCACACCGTTGATTGTGGGCTGGCGAGGCGGTCCACGAAATTGATTGCCCTCCCGAGAACTCAATCTCGCCCACTGCATCAGCGCATCCGTTGATTCGGCTAGCTGGACGGCATCGAGAAAGTCGCGTGGCCTCGTTCGTCGCACCTCGTACTGCACCTCGTATTTGAGGCCTGCGACGTATTTGTCAAGCCGCTCCGCGTCATTCATATCGTCCACTTGGTCGGCCAAGGCGCAGAACGTCGCCGTGTAGTCTTGGACCAATATCACCTGCTTCCAGGCACGCAGCTTCATGCGAGCAGAATCCGAGGCGGATACATGCTCGAATCTGGCTCGCAGCGCGGCGCCCCACTCCATCCATGTGCGTATTGTGGCCACTCCGAAGATTGTAGTTGCTCGTTGCGTGACAGGTGTCCAGGTCCCGTGGTTCGCACGTGATTTTCCTGTCGAAGTCCCCTCGATCTGAAGCGTTCGTCTCCACCACTCCAACGCAGCTCCGCGTAACAGTGACACTTCAAAATTAATGCGAGTGACATCATCAGCAATTTGCGCAGCATTAAAGAAGACCTCCACGCCAAACAACCACTCAGACACAGTGACGGTTTTGTCGCTGGGGTTGAACGGGGGCGAGTTAGTCGGTTTTGTCTTGACAGTTGTTGAAACTGCTGATGCCGCATGCACTGTGGGCGCCATCGAAGCCATCGCCGGAGTTGTCGCTGGAGCCTGTCGTGGCATTGACTGAGACTGTTGCCTCGGCATTGCTCGTTCCTGTTGCTGCTGTCCTGGCGCTTCCGGTGGTTGTTGCTGTCATGCCGCCCACTCAACTTCAGCATCCTGCGAGCCTTCTAGCTCGTTAAACACGTTGTCGTTGAGTGAGGAACTGCTACTTGCTTCATCCACGACGGGCGACTCCTGGCGCACTTCACCTCGCGCCTGGCGTAGTTCGGCGTTTTCCACCCTCGGGCACTCCAACTCGCCAGCCGAAAGTCCTGCATGAAACGGTCTAACTCGGCCTGATTCATGTTTCTTAGGCTCCTCCTAACGGGCAGGGGGTTAACAACGATTTTTCTGACTTTGATGAAGGCGCAAATGCTATTAGTCGGAGCGAAATAATCGTATCTATTTCTCAGCCGACCGCTTTGAATCCCACCAAGTCTATCGCACCCTTCCACTAAACTACCCCGGAAATGGTGGGTAACCTAAATAGCTCTGATACCAAGTGTTATGAGTTGTACGAAAGAAGAGTGCGCAGAATGCAATATCGCGGACGTGATTACAACTACTGAGCAAACAACGAGGCCTAGGACTAATATAGCAATGCTAGCTAGGCCGAGGTCGCGGAGTCGCGAGATGGTTGGGTGCAGGTTTGGGGTTGGGAAACCCGAAGGCGACGTGAGGGACGTTCGGAAGGCGAGGTCGTCGGACCGAGCCTGAACTCCGAAAGTTGGAATTGTACGCGCACAGAGTGCCTCAGTAAGGAATTAGGAAAATTCCTTACAACTCCGATCCTGGGTTGTCGAGTTCGAAGGCGACGAGAGTTACGATCGGAAGGTGAGGTCGTCGAGCCGAGCCTGGTCCTCCGAAAGTTGGAGTTGTACACGCTGCTGTGTGACTTGTATCCGGGAGATTACGGTATTACGGTATTGAGATTAACCAAAAGAGTATCAGCAATGCAAGCCTTGATAATTCCTTCTAAATGTTACTTGTAAACAACCTGGAAACAGTTGTTCGTTTGAGATGTTGGGAAAGTGGGGCATGTGGGGGAAGACTAAGACACACCAACACGGTTCAATGGGCCCTTCACACAGTTCACATCTAAAAGGGTTCTCCTCAAGTCCAGGTGCTGCAGTGTAAGGTAATTTCTACCAACTCCCACTCCCCACCCCTACCCCCATTCTTCCACCTCATCATCCTCATCATCCTCTTCACCCGCCCAGTGGTCATCCGCTTCTGTATAGGGAGCGTCCGGCTCAGAGAGCTCAATCTCTGGCTCGTCCTCAGCACAAAAAACCACCGTCCAGTCCTTCTGATTCACCATGTACGCATCCTCCTCGCCCAGAGTATACCCCGCCACCAACCCCCCATTCACACTGTGCATCTTGTCCCGCACAGTCTTGCGCCCGTTGCGAAATGACGGGCTCTTCTTCGTCCCCTTGTGCTGCCTCATGTGTTCCATTGGCCCTCCCTCCACCGTGCGGCCCTTCCGCTCCCAATACAACGTGCGCCACGCAACACAGTACAGTTCCAACAAGGGGTATCGATCCTTGAGGATAACCAGCAGTTCGGGAGGCACCAGGCAGCGGCTTGGGAAGAAGAGAGCCTGCAGATTCGGAGCATCCAGAAACGGAAGCTCTGGGAACTCTTCCCGGCCTTCTGTCTCGTTATCAGCATACTCGTTTTGCTGCTCCTCCTCCTCCTCCTCCTCCTCCTCACTTTCCGAGCCTGCTACAGTCACATAGATAGACTCCGAGCAGTCGCCATCATCAGCCCCAGCAGCCACCTGTTTGCGGAACGGGCCTGCATGAAAGCGCGTGCGGCCACGACAAATGTGCTTCTGCTGATCCCTGCATTCCTCCCTCCTCTCCATCCTCCGCTTCTCCCGCTTCCACAGCACCATTTCATCGTCCTCCCCCTCGTCTGCATCTTCCACTGTAATCTCCTCGCACACCATGCCCCCCACATCACAGTCGCTCTCCACCACAACCCCAAGGCTGCGCTGCCGAGGCCAGGAAAGGCGGCATGACTCCACGTTGATATCATGCCTCGTTATAAGCGCCTCCACTGTTGGCGCTACTGCGCGCAGCCAATCTGCCCAGGAAAACTGCGGCGACCGCATGTTGTAGACCTCCCCGTGCTGCAGCCCCATCCTCTGCACGCGTGGTGTGGCGCTCGGCAAGAGCTTGATTGGAGCATTCAGGTAAAGAGCGCGGACCGAGGCGACATCGAACCATGAAACATGGATCCTCTCTTTCGCATAGAGAAACAGCTGCTCCAGGCTCAAGGCACCGGTGCTGCTGCAGTTGAGAATGAGAGACTGAGCGCAGGCCGAGAAGGTGTGGAAGGCAGCAGGCAGAGACAACTTCAGCTTCAACTCATGATGCAGGAACCAGAAGCGAATGCGGCGAGCATTGGGGAAGTCCAAGGCAAGGAACACCGGGCCCAGCGTATCCCACCCTTCCTGCAGGTGCTACGGCTCGCAGAACGTGAAGTTATGCAGCTGCGGGGTGAGGTCAGCTAGGGCCTTCAAGCACACGCCGCTGGGATCCACACCGTCTAAGGTAAGACTCCTGAGGGAGCGCATCCAGCGGGCCTTCACGCAGGGCTTGTCCAGGCGCCAGGCACTGAGGCCGAGAGAGAGAGAGTGTGTGTAGGTTGATGCAGGGGGTGAGAAAGTTGAGCTTCCAGTTTAGAAGCACGTGCAGGTCGTCTCGGGCCCTTCGGGAGAGGGTTAGTTGGAACAAGGTGAGGGCGGAGGAGGGGAAAGAGGGCGAGCGGTGGTGAATGAGGGGGATGAGGGATTGGCAGGCGAATGTGAGGCACAGGGCGGGGAGAGGGGGAGCGTGCGAGAGGAACCAGAGGATGCTGTTGGTCCACAGGGCCTTGAGCGGCGAGAGGTGCAGGCAGATGGGGTTGTCGTCGCCCTGGTGATGGGTGGGGAGTGGGCGTACGGGGAGGGTTGTCGAGGGCATAACAGAAGGGATGTATGAGGGCGTATAATAGGGCGAGGACGTACCGTATCACCCCGGATATAGGCGCATATGCGCTTATAATAAAATCGATTTTTTAGGGGGTGGCGCTTGTAATTGAATAACGGCCATAAGCGCCAGCGCTTATATCATGGCAAAAATGAATTTGTTATCTATAAGTACCAAATCGAAGCCCGCAATAAGACGAACACAATTGTGTAACGTGCGTGTGGGATCATGCATGAAATCCTGCCGAAAACTGCCGCGCTTCGATTTCCGACCGCACAAATCCCGTCCAGGAGCAGCGCACCTGCCAGCGCTGACGTGAAAGTTGCCATGCGGCCCAATCAGGCTTTCATGCGGTGGCAGGCAGCTGCATTTCACCCGAACCATCGAGAAGGGGCTGGAATGCCCTGCCAGCGCAGCATGCCCGTGCCGCGATACCCTCCTCTCCGGGTTCAGACAGGGGGTACCCGTCTCTCCCCAACGAGGGCCCCGAGGCGCTAACCAGAAGGGGTCCCTTTGAATCTCTCATTTGTTCTCCATTTCTCTCAGTTTCTCGTTCAGTTTCTTGGCCACTTTCGCCTGGCTGCGGAAGCCATGGCGGAATTCAGCGGCTCACACTTCTTGTTCAAGAAAAAGCCTACGCGAAGGCCCGCGTTTAGAGTAGACGCTGACGGGTGGTACTCCCGTATCCCACCAGAACCACCAGAGCCACCACAGCCTCCTGCGCCTCCTGCGCCTCCTGCTCCTCCTGCACCTCCTGCGCCTCCTGTTCCTCCTGCTCCTCCGTGTACTCCGGGTCTTGTGTCTCCGCAACACACTGGCAATCAGCCTGTGCTCACGCTGCTGCTCCCATCTGCGTTTGACGAATACCTCTCCGAACCGGAGTCTAACAAGGTGCAAGATGAGTACGTGGAAGTGGACCACGCGCCTGGAGGACGTTGGGGACGAATCTGCAGTCGGCGCCGACGATGATGTTGCTGACGCTGAGGAAGCGAGCGGTGCTAACGGCGCCGAGGGTGGCACGGAGGCTTCTGCCGAGGGCGGCGCCGAGGGCGGCACCGCTGAGGATGTGTTTCCAGAAGGTGTTACGGGCGACGATGACGACGACGGCGTTGAGTACTGGTCACGCGACGGGCTACCCGAGAAACTGCCCATACCAACCTATCCTCCGATTAATCGCAAGCGACCCCACCCCTCTTCACAGAACCGTGATACCCGCCCCCCCTCTCCCAGGCACAAGCTCACCGACCACAAGCGGCAAGGTTACACCGCCGCGGAGAAGTTGAAGTGGGTTGCTCTGCTTGATGTGGCGGTGTCGGTGCGCGCCTTGGCTCGCGAGAGCGGAATCCACCGCAAGTGCATCACCAACTGGAAGCGGGCGGCAGAATTCCTCAAGGACGTTCACTCCGCTCGGAAGCGCATGCACGGCCGCGGGCGAGCGTCGTGGTACCGGCCGATGGAGTTGAAGGTGTACGAGAAGCTACTCGAGTGGCACCGTAAGGGAACCGCCGTGTCAGTCGGCCGCCTGCAGGAGTGGTCGCGAGAGTTCATGAAGCTTCTGTAACCAGACAAGAACTGGAAAGGAAGCCAGAGGTGGTCGGAGCGCTTTCGGCGGTGATGGAATCTGAGCGTCCGCATGAAGACCCGGGTTGCCCAGAAAACCGCCGCGCGTAAGAATTACCCCGTTTAATTTGCCACGTGGTTTTTGTTTATTTGTACTAACACCCTCCGTCTGTGTCCGTCCTCTCTTCCACCGCCGTACAGATGTCGCTGAGCAGTTCAAGAGCTTCTGGCAGTTCGTGCGTGCCAAGTGTCGTGAGCGCGGCATCGACACCGCGTGGATCATCAACACGCACCAGACGCCGCTCTGGCTGGAGATACCCGCCACCACCTCCGTGGAGGAAACGGGTGTTCGCTCGGTGCCTTTCTTGAAGCCTCGGTTTGGCAGACACGCCAAGAGCACGATGCTGGTGCTGGATTCTTACCGCGGTCACCTCACCGAGGGGGTGAAGGAGAAGCTCCGCGAGATGAACTGCGTGCCGGCAATCATCCCGTCGGGCTGTACGGCGGAGGTACAGCCGCTCGATGTCTCCATCAACAAGAGCTTTAAGGCGTCGGTCCGCCAGCAGTACCAGAGGTGGTTTGAGGCAGAGGGGCAAGAGCAGCTGACAGCAGCAGGTATGGCATGAGTACGGTATTGTTTTACCCCCCCCCCCTCCCCCCCCCGAATTCTTTGTTGTTGCACTAACGGCTTTCCACCGTTCTCCCGTAATGTTTCAGGGAACCTGAAGAAGCCTCCAGCTGAGGTCGTCCTGCGGTGGATATCTCAGGCCTGGAAGGCAGTGCCGGCTGACCTCATCAAGAGTGCCTTCCTCACCTGTGGCATCAGCAACTAGCTTGACGACAGTGAGGACGGACTCGCCATGGCGCACAGGCGGAGTCAGCTGACAGCGGAAGTGGATGTCGATGATGACATCATCGCTGATGGTTTTTTTGGCAACAACTGCCAGGAGCCCGAATCTGACGAGGAGGAGTAGGAGGGGTACTGGATGATCCATGTTAGGTAGAAGTACCCCGGCTAAACTTGTTGTTAGGAGATCTAGCTTAATCTGATGTTGTGGTTTCTAAGAAAAAGTGACAGTTTAGTGATATCTTTTGTAATGCCTCCAACTAAAGGTTAAGGGATGCGCTTATAACAAGGATAGAAACCACAGGGGGTGCGCTTATAATCGAGTTCCGGCCATAAGCGCCATGCTCCAGATAGAGGCGCCGGCGCCTATAATCGGACGGCGCCTATATCCGGGGTGATACGGTACGTTAAGGCGAGGGGTACGGGACGGCGAGGGGTATGGGACGGCTGGAGCGTACGGGAATGTGAGAGCGCACGGGAACGCGAGAGCGTACAGGAATGCCTTTCTCTCACCCCACACTCCTTTCCCTCCACCCCTCCGGATTGATAATTGCGGGCTTTGTTCCTGTCCGGATGAAAAAATAATTCGTTTATGCGCTCAAACTTTATTTACCCTACGGCATGTTGCATTACACGAGTCACGACGACCCCTTATAGGCTGTAGCATAGCATGCATCCCAACCCAACGTTGCAGCTTATCACGTCATATCACTTACCGTATCGCCCCGGATATAGGCGCCGTCCGATTATAGGCGCCGGCGCCTCTATCTGGAGCATGGCGCTTATGGCCGGACCTCGATTGGAAGCGCCCCCCCTAAGATTTGTGTACTTATTATAAGCGCCACCATTCAACTACTTAAGCAGCAATTACATTGAAATCACTTAAAAGACAATTCTAGACAGCAGCTACAACATCAGAGACCTGATACAGCAGGTTTAGCAACACTAATTCTACCTAACTAGTCTAATCGTCGTCAGATTCGGGCTCCTGGCAGTTGTTGCCAAAAAACCCATCAGCGATGATGTCATCATCGACATCCACTTCCGCAGTCAGCTGGCTCCGCCTGTGCGCCATGGCGAGGCCGTCCTCACTGCCGTCGAGCGCGTTGCTGATGCCACAGGTGAGGAAGGATCGCTTTATCAGCTCGGCCGGCACTGACTTCCAGGCCTGAGATATCCACCTCAGGACGACCTCCGCAGGAGGCTTCTTCAAGTTCCCTGGAAAATTACGGGAGAACGGTGGAAACCCGTGAGTCCAACAAAAGATACGGTAAGCAAGGGGAGGGGGGTTGAAACACAACACCGTGCTCATTCCATACCTGCTGCCGTCAGCTGCTCTTGACCTTCTGCCTCAAACCACCTCTGGTACTGCTGGCGGACCGACGCTTTAAAGCTCTTGTTGATGGAGACATCGAGCGGCTGTACCTCCGCCGTACAGCCCGACGGGATGATTGCCGGCACGCAGTTCATCTCGCGGAGCTTGTCCTTCACTTCCTGGGTGAGGTGACCGCGGTAAGAGTCCAGCACCAGCATCGAGCTCTTGGCGCATCTACCGAACTTGGGCTTCAAGAAAGGCTTGACGCCCTCCTCAAGCCAGCGGACGACGCCCGCGGAGTCCATCCACCCGTTCTCGTGTGCAGCCACGACCACATCTGCAGGAAACATAGAGAAGCAGTTAGAATTCGCAGTCGGAACAGACCGCAGTTAACGAGCAGTGCACCGAGGGACTTACCGGGTGGGAAATTGCCCTTTGGCACGGTCTTGCGCTTGAAGTACACCCACGGCTTCAGCTTCAATCCGTCCGCCGTGCACGCCAACATCACGGTCACACGCTGCTTCTGATACCCCGCGCTCCTGATAGGCACCGAGCGAACACCCGATTCATCCACGGTGGTGGTGGCGGGCATCTCCAGCCAGAGCGGCGTCTGGTCCGCGTTGATGATCCACGCGGTGTCGATGCCGCGCTCTCGACGCATGCCACGCACGAACTTCCAGAAGCTCCTGCACTGCTCCGCGACATCTGAAGGGAGGTGAAAGGTAGGACGGACACAGATGGCGGGTGTTAGTACCGGTACAACAGGTAAATAATCAGAGGGCAAAGTACACGGGGTAACTCTTACGCGACTGGGTTTTCTGGGCAACCCGGGTCTTCATGCGGACACTCAGGTTCCATCGTCGCCGAAAGAGCTCCGACCACCTCTGGCTTCCTTTCCAGGTCTTGTCCGGGTACAGCAGCTTCATGTACTCCTGCGACCACTCCTGCAGGCGGCCGACTGATACGGCGGTTCCCTTGCGGCGCCACTCGAGAAGCTTCTCGTGCACCTTTAACTCCATAGGCCGATACCACGACGCTCGACCGCGGCCATGCATGCGCTTCCGAGCGGAGTGCACGTCTTTGAGGAACTCCGCCGCCCGCTTCCAGTTGGTGAGGCACTTGGGGTGGATTCCGCTCTCGCGAGCCAAGGCGCGCACCGACGTTGCCACAGCAAGCTTGGCAACCCACTTCAACTTCTCAGCGGCGGTGTAACCTTGCCTCTTGTGCTCGGTGAGCTTGTGCCTGGGAGAGGGGGGGCGGGCATCACGGTTCTGGGAAGAGGGGTGGGGTCGCTTGCGATTCATCGGGGGATAGGAAGGTATCGGCAGGGTCTCGGGAAGCCCGTCGCGAGACCAGTACTCCACACCGTCGTCGGCATCGTCGCCGGGAACGCCTTCTGGAAAAACATCTTCAGCGGAGCCGCCCTCGGCGCCGCCCCCGGCGCTCGCCTCCGTGCCATCCTCGCCGCCGTCAGCGCCGCTCGCTTCCTCAGCGTCAGCGTCAGCTTCCTCAGCAACATCATCGTCGGCGCCGACTGCAGATTCGTCCCACGGGCAGTCGTCAGGCTGTCCCCACCGTGAACCAGGAACGTGCTCCACTTCCACCCACTCATCTTGCGCCTTGTTAGACTCCGGTTCGGAGAGGAACTCGTCAAACGCCGATGGGAGCAGCAGCGTTAGCACGGGCGTTGATCCAGCGTGTAGCGGAGGCGCAGGACTCTGCGAGCACGGAGGAGTCGGAGGAACAGGAGGCTCAGGAGGTGCAGGAGGCGAAGGAGGAGCAGGAGGCGCAGGAGGCGCATGAGGCTGTGGTGGCTCTGGTGGTGCTGGTGGGACGCGGGAGTACCACCCGTCTTCGTCTACTCTAAACGCGGGCCTCCGCGTAGGCTTCTTCTTGAACAAGAAGTGCACTCCGGTGAATTCCGCCATGGCTTCCGCAGCATGGCGGGAGGGACATTGAACCAAGAACGGGAAACTGAAAGAATCGATGACCAAATGAAGGATTCAAAGGGACCCCTTCTGGCTAGCGCCACGGGGTCCTCGTCGAGGAGAGACGGGTGTCCCCTGTCTGAACCCGGAGAGGAGGGTATCGCGCCACGCACGATGCTGCGCTGGCAGGGCATTCCAGCCGCTTCTAGATGGTTCGGGTGAAGATTCTGCTGCCACCCAGCGCACGAAAGCCTGATTGGGCCGCAAGGCAAGTTTCGCGTCAGCGCTGGCAGGTGAGCTGCTCCTGGACGGGCTTTGTGCGGTTGGAAACCGAAGCGCGGCAGTTTTCGACGGGTTTTCATGCATGATGCCATGCGCACGTTACACAGTCTTGTTCGCCTTAATACGGGCTTCGATTTGATACTCAAAAAAAGCAAATTCATTTTTACCATTATATAAGCGCCGGCGCTTATGGCCGTTATTCAATTACAAGCGCCACCCCTTAAAAAATCAATTTTATTATAAGCGCCGTGGCGCTTATATCCGGGGCGATACGGTATTTTGATGAAATTTAGCAGAGAAGTTTACCATACCCCAGCAAGCCAGAATAAATCACTCTTAATGTTTAGTGTAAGGTACCCTACTCCCCTTTGAGACAGCTTAGTGGAGAAGTGAAACAGGTGGAAAAACAGACACATGTCACGTCTAGAAGGGTTCTCTCAGCTTCAGATGCTACCAATTTCCATTCCCTCCACTCCCCACACCCACTCGTCCTCCGAATCCTCCTCATCCTCCTCACCGCCCAGACGGTCATCCAATTCACTAAAGGGAGCGTCAGGCTCAGGAAGCTCAATCTCAGGCATGTCTTCGTCACAAAGAGCCGCCGACCACTGCTTCTTATTCACCATGTACCCCTCCTCTTCGCCCAAACTATACCCCGCCACCAACCCCCCATTCACACTGTGCATCTTGTCCCGCACGGTCTTCCGCCCGTTGCGATACGACGGGGCTTTTTTCGCTCCCCGCGGCTGCCTCCTGTGCTGCACCGGCCCTCCTCCTTCCACCACTCGGCCCTTCCTCTCCCAATACCACGTGTCCCATGCAACGCAGAACAGCGCTAACAAGGGGTACCTCGCCTTGACCTCACCCAGCAAGCTGGCGGGTATCCGGTAGCGGGTGGGGAAGAAGAGAGCGTGCAGATTCGGAGCATCAAGAAACGGAAGCAGAGGGAAGCCTTCCCGGCCCTCCGACTCGTTATCAGCATACTCGTTTTGCTCCTCCTCCTCGTCCTCCTCCTCCTCACTGTCCGAGCCTGCTGCAGCCGCACGGGCAGAAACCTCAGTGCCATCGCCATCATCAGCCCCTGCCGCCACCTTCTTACCGAACGGGCCTGCGTGGAAGCGCGTGCGGCCGCGGCGAATGTGCTCCTGCTGCTTCCTGCGCTCCTCGCGCCTCTTCATGCGCCGCTTCTCCCGCTTCCACAGCACCAAGTCATCCTCCTCCGCCTCCTCAGCCTCCTCTACTGTGATCTCCCCGCGCACAAGCCCCCCCACGTCAAAGTCGCTTTCTACCACAACCCCCAGGCTCCGCAGACGCGGCCAGGCAAGGCCGATCGACTCCAGGTTGATGTCATGCCTCGTTATAAGCACCTCCACTGTTGGCGCTAGTGCGCGCAGCCAACCTGCCCACGAAAATGGCGGCGGGCCAAGGTTGTAGACCACCCCGTCCCGCGCTCCCGTCCTCTGCGCTTGCGGTGCGCGGCTCGGCAGCAGCTTGATCGGAGCATTCAGGTAGAGAGCGCGGACCGAAGCGACGTCAAACGAGGAAACACGGAGGCTCTCTTTCGAGTAGAGCAACAGCTGCTCCAGGCTCAAGGCGGCGCTGCTACTGCAGTTGAGTATGAGCGCCTCAGCGCAGGCGGAAAAGGTGTGGAAAGCGGCAGGCAGAGAGAGCTTCAGCTTCAGCTCGTGATGCAGGAAACGGAAGCAGACGCGGCGAGCATTGGGGAAGTCTAGGGCAAGGAACACAGGCCCCGACGTCTTCCCCCACTCCTGCAGATGCTGTGGCTCGCAGAACGTGAAATCATGCAGCTGCGGGGTGAGGTCTGCCAGGGCTTTCAAGCACACACCCCTGGGATCCACACCTTCTAGGGTGAGGCTCCGTAGGGAGCGCATCCAGCGAGCCTTCACACAGGACTTGTCCAGGCGCCATGCGCCTAGGCCGAGAGAGAGGGAGTGCAGGTTGGTGCAGGGGGCGAGAAAGTTGAGCTTCCAGTTTGCCGGCACGTATAAGTCTTCGTCGTCGCGGGCCCTTCGTGAGAGGGTTAGGTGGAGCGAGGTGAGCGCGGAGGAGGGGAAGGAGGGGGCCCGGCGGTGGATGAGGGGGATGAGGGAGTGGCAACCGAAGGAGAGGCGCAGGGCGGGCAGCGCGGGGGCGTACGAGAGGAACCAGAGCACGCTGTTGGTCCACAGGGGCTTCGCGAGCGAGAGGTGCAGGGAAATGGGGTTGCTGTCGCCCTGGTGGTGGGTGGGGGACGGGTGTAAAGTTGGGTTGGTGAGGGCACGAAAACCGAGGGCGTACGGAAAATGAGACGTACGGGTAGGAAAGGTGAAAGGAATGGGGGAAGGTTGGGCAAGGATGGGGCAGGGCTGAGCATGAATGGAACGACCGGGGGGGAGAGGGAGGGGGGGGGGAGTGCGGCACTGACAGCGAAGGAGACCACGTGGTGGAAAATAGCGTTTTTGAGTCTCAGAAACATTCTGCTATCACGTGGTCGAAAGGTGCGGCACTGACAGCGAAGGAGACGACGTGGTGCAGCAGCCTCTTGCTGGCGAGCCCGCAGCACAGCAGAGCCCACGACGAGCCATAAACCCGCGCGTTCCTCGCATGCAGCCAGCACGCCGTTGCTCCCTCCCTCGTAAACTCCACCCCCTGCTGCCCGCTCTCTGCGCCGTCCGCGGGTGCTTGTGCGCGCGCCTTGCAGCCCGAGGAGCAGCCGTAGAGGCTGGTGGGGAGGTGCGGCGGCGAGGCGAGGCAGACGCGGCTGTGCAGCAGCAGGCGGAAGATGCGGTGCCAGAGCGCCGCGGTTAGCATGTCCACCGAGTCGTTGAAGCGCACTGGCGACGACGATGGCGACGACGGTGGCGACTTTTTCTGTCGCTTGTTCTCTCGTCGCTTGACCTCTCCTCTCACTGCGCCCGTCGACTCTCCGTCACCTCCGACCCGTGATGCCATGCTGCTAGCTTCGCGCCCGTCAGCCATTTACGACTCCTTTTTTACCACTGTTACACTAGTATCGAATCCGCATTCTACAAAGGAACGTAGCTTCTATCAGCCAGGAGTCTGAGACGTCTGGAAGTCACAGGAAACGCGATTACAGCTTCGAGTTTTAACTAAAGTAGGCTTTGCCAGGCTACTTGTCCCATCTGGAGTGAGCATGCGTGGATTGAATTGGTGACGCAGCGGGATGGGGAACCCAATGCAGGAACAGCCCCTTCCAGAAGCTCCAGAACGTGACAGGCACACGGATTGCGGAACTCGCGGGGAAAAGTGTGACGGAAAATTCCCTCCCTCCCCAAATTGCGTTGCGGTGCGGATGTCAGACCGCGCTGTTTGATCACAATTTGGTATGAACGTTTAAAGCCAGGATCTCAAGTAAGAGAAATTGGCTTCAATTGCAAAACACTTGCAGCTCGAGTCACCCTGTTTGTTTAGGCAAAATCGAGTGGTTGGGTTGGAGGTTCAGTGTGCGACTGATCCCCGATTTGCCCGTGAATCTCAATTGCAAAACAAATTGCTGTGCATGAGATTTTTCGGCAAGTGAGACACATTGCTGGGAAATGAGCTTCGGAACCCAACCAGATTTCCGTGCCTAGTTGGTTCGGAAGTTCACTGCGATTTTTGTTTGCTTCGCATCCCTCGTTTCAGCTCTCGTCAACTACTCTACCTCGTCAACCAATCACAGCCTAACACAATTCACTAACTGCAAAACAGCCAAACTACTTGAGATCCTGGCTTTAAATGACCACTACAGCGCCATGGATTTCTTCAGGGTATTCAACCCGGCATTTCGTGAAGCAGAGTTATCAGTTGGCTTTAAGAACCACGGCATTGTACTCGCCTTATCACGACGAAGCGTTTGGTACACTTATCGTGTCCATCAGTCGGACATTGTATCAAAAGCTCCTCGGGGTCTGCTGTTCAGGTTCTTCAGTCAATACAATCTCAAGGCTTTGCCATCTGTTATTCTAACAGCATTCCAGTGTGTTATCCAAGCGCTATCAAGGCGACAACATGATTGGCTCTCTTTATTTCAAGGCATTCTCAAGGCTACGAATATCCACCCAGTGGTTATGTCAGCAACATCTCATCATCTGCACCAGGAATACTGGTCAGACGGAGGATCACTACGGCTATATTATATTGGGCTCAGAGTTTCAGCAAGTCAACCTTGTCAGGCATTTGCAAGCCTCCTGATACTCAAGCTAACTCATCATTGCGCCATGCCGCGTGCGCCTCCGAAGGAACGAAAACCCCTGGTGCCGAAGCGTTCTGCTGCATCCTCTTCTGCTACCATGTCTGAAGACAAGGGAAAGACTGTGGTGGATCAGGAACCAGTCACTCCGGTTGCAGGAAGCTCTGGTTTATCCCTGGAGGAAAAGTTGACGGCGCTTACCTTGGCGCATGACAAAGCTGACGACGGAGAGTTCACGGATGATGACTCCGACGATGAACTGGAGTTTGAGATCTCCAAGGATTTTGCTGCGAAAATCCGTCACACGGCGATTCTGCTTCTCCCGCTGGTCCTTCAACCGGAAATGGCATCGGTTATTTTAACCGTGAAGCTGCTGTTGAAACGTGTCTGGTCCTCCTTATTCGCTGACGGTGCTAACACATTGATTGAGTTTCAGGATATCAATCCTGCATACGTAGCAAAGACAAAGTACAGCCGCCTTCAGTTATCATTTCTGAAAGAAGAGGATGCGATCAAAGTGCGTCAGGCAGCGCTGGAGTATCAGAAGCCGAATGGAGCATCATTTACTCTACACTGGCTGCATGCTGAGAATGCAGCTTTTAAGGAGAAAGCTACTAATCAACGGGCTATTGAAGTGGTTTTTAAGGACATACCTGCCAGTATTACGCCGGAGGCTGTTGAGGAGTTGCTGGTGAAGTACAAGCTGAAAATTCGCCAAGTCACGCCTTTCCTGGAGGGTCATTGCTTTCACCGCGTAGTGCATCCGGTTTCTGGAGCCAACACAGGGACTATTAAGGGATTGGTGGTTCCACACCCGGAAGTCAAAAAGCGGCGTTTTATTCACCAAGTCAACCACCCGCAGGAGCATGATAAGAAGCTCCTGGTCCACTACCCTATGCTCTCCTGCCGGCTCTGTGGGGGTCCGCATTATGAGAAATACCATGATGCCTTCACCACTGACCGGCAGCATAACATAGGGAAGTGGAACTTGAGCCTAGGTCATGTGCATGGGATCAATGGTAACAGTACACTTACACGCTTAAGCAGTTCAGATTGTCTTACCTGTCATCCAACTCCTAACCGTTTAGCCGCTTGTCGCAGCTGCTTCCCTGACTGCTTCGCGCCTGGTGCGTCCGATTCTGCTCGACCCGGCTATTGTCCTGATCTCCACCGGAAGCTCCAGGGAAGAGTGGATCTGTACTCAGATTTGTTGCGGGAAAGCGCATGGGATGCTGCTTGTCGCTGCTGCAGAGCACATAACTGCTGCGCGTCATCTGCACGGACAAGGGGAGCTGGGTGCGGTCACTCGTCTGACAAGGGAAAAGGAGAACCTGCATACAGTCCGCAAGGAGTATGGGATTTAACAGACCCAGATCGGCTTGCCATGGTGATATCAGTTGGAGCGGTAGTTCTTGGTGTACTCTGTCTTACCTGCCTGTGGATGCGTAGAGGCGATCAAGGAGTTATTAAATGAATACACGGAATACGCTGTCGTTTGCGGGCCTGAATGTTAACGGCCTGGGGGACTTCACGAAGCGGAAACGTACAACGGCATGGATTAACAGCAACAAAGGAGCAGATGTAATGGTTTTATCAGATACGCGAATAACAGACGATAACACCTACTGGTCTTCCCTCAATCTCACCTCTTTTGCTGCCACCTCCTCTGTGACTCGAGCCGGAGGTGTTGCAGTTCTCAGCCGGCGAACGGACCTTTCCTTTCACAACCCTTTAGCTCACCCCTCAGGAAGACTTGTTAAGACTGAAGTTCACTGTTCAAACCTTCGACTTACCCTGATAGCAACTTACTTACCTGCAGACAAAGCTGAGAAGCGAGCCTTCGTCAGGATAGTGCTTGGTCCGATTCTAGGCCAGATTCAGCCAGGCACCCACCTGCTCATCCTAGGTGACCTTAATACCATTGAGAATCCACTGCTTGATAAAACCTCCAGACACGGATCAACTAAAGAGAATGACTTCCTCTACCACCAGTGTAAAGCCTTTGACGTCTCAGATGCTTTTCGATTCCTTCACCCAAGTGAACGAGAGTTCACCTTTTACTCACAATCACATCAGGAGAGTTCACGGATAGATCGAGCTTTAGCCTCTCAATCCTTGCTCCCGTGCCTGGTGTCAGCTACGCACGTCTCGCCGGATGAGCCGGTCTCTGATCATGGTTTTGCTGTCCGGGTAATCTTCAAGCTCAAATCGCAACTGAAACTGGGGCTGGGAATTTGGCGATTTCATCCCTCCCTGCTTGGGAGGCCAGGGGCTAAGAAGAAGATAGAGGAGGTGGAGCGGCTGGTCGCGCAAAATGGAGGAGGTTTTACAGCACTCATTTCGCGCCTGCATGCCAGCCTGCGAGCGTATGCAAGAGAAGAGAGCAAAAGGATCAGGGCAACTATCGTTCATCTCACCACATCGGTGGCTGCATTGAGACAGGAGTTCATGCAGCACCCGAAAGATCTGCTGCTGAAGGAACGGCTGAGTAAAAAGGAACATCAGCTCAAGGAGTATTTTGCGTGTCGAAGGGACAGAATGCACACCATGGCTGGAGTGGAAATGGCGTTGACGGGAGAAGTCCCCTCACCGCATCTGTCGGCAAGGATAAAGACGCGGAAAGTCAGGACTCAAATCGCGGAGATTGCGGTACCAGGAGGGGTGGTGTCGGAGCCGAAACGGATCTTGGAGGCAGCGGCAGATTACTTCCGTAACCTCTTCGGAGAAGATAAGCGCACGATGACTTCGGATTGGCGTCCGGAAGCCGGGAAGAGGCTGCTGTATTCAGATGCGGAAAGTCTGCAAGAGGAATGGACAGAGAAGGAGGTCAGACAGGCGTTGCGGGAAATGGCGTGCAACAAATCACCAGGGAAAGATGGCCTGCCGAAGGAGCTATTTGATGCACACTGGGACACACTCGGAAAGCATGTTATGGGGTTGGTCAGCGACTTCACCCTCACGTCCTCGCTCTCCACCAACGTGAAAGATGCGGTGACAATCCTCCTGCATAAAAAAGGGGCGAAAGAGCAGTTGGATAACTACCGTCCTATCACGCTTTTAAACATCAGCTACAAACTACTGGCGCGAGTCTTGGCGAGCAGAATCAAGAAAGTGCTGCACAAGGTGATCTCACCAGAACAATTTGGCTTTATCCCCGGAAGGCGGATGTCTGATGCGGTGGGGCTGGTTGCTGACATAATCGACGCAGCCAAAAATGGGTCGGAGGACTGGTTTATGCTGCTTGTAGACTTCAAAAAGGCGTTTGACTCGGTTTCTCGAGACTTTAACTTCGAAGTGATGGAGAAAATGGGCTTTCCGACTCGTTTCGTTGGCTGGGTGAAAGGTCTGCACACGAACACGAGGACGAGTTTGCTAATCAATGGCTGGATGGGCGAAGCGGTGAATGTGGTCTCGGGGGTGAGGCAGGGTTGCCCCTTAGCACCCTACCTCTTCCTCTGTGCGGTGGAGCCGCTGGCGCAGAAGGTGATGAAGCGGAAGATAGGGATTTCCCTCACCAGCTGTGTTGGCCAAAGGTTGGCTTACATCGGTTACGCCGATGACACGACCCTCCTGCTGCAGGGGAAGCAGCAAATCGGAAGAGCAGAGGAGGTGTTGGAGGAGTTCAAATGCATTTCCGGTTTGGAGACCAACAAGGGGAAGTCGGTGGTGATGCCACTGGGAGTTAACCTGGGGAAAAAGACATGGCGCACAGACGGGTTTCGATGGGCTGAGGAAAATGAAGCAGAAAGACTGTTGGGAGTGTGGGTCACGCCGAATGGAAGCTGCCAGCCGACGTGGGATAAGGCGCTTCAAAAAATCGCCGGAAAGATGTCGCTATGGCAACCGCAATTTCTCCCGATTAAGGCCCGGACAGCGGTGATGGACGGATATATTCTGCCGATTGCGTGGTCCCAAGCTCAGGTGTACCCGCCGCCTGCGCAAACCTGGAATGTCATCACAAGGATGACACAAAACTTCATGTCAGCTAACAAGGTCACATCGGACAAGTGCTTCAACCTCTGGAGCAAAGAGCTTCTGTTTACACCGGTACTGGAAGGAGGAGTGGGGGCGAAAAATCCTGAGGCGATGCTTACCTGCTTAACAGCTAGAAGGATCGGGCTGGTACTCACGGAGACGAACCAGCTAAAGCGGGAGCTGATGCGCCGAGCAGCTGACCTGCCAAGGGGGGTGGAGACGTTTATGGCGCACGAGAAGCTGTTGAAAACCTGGGAGGGGAAAAGTCAGAGGTGGAAATTGGCTTGTGCAAACTTCATGCGATCTCCGTTAGCGGTATCCACGGAGGAACGAGAGACCAAGGAGCTGCTGCTGGAGAGAATCGCATTTCACAGGCATATTCTCTTGAAAGGTACCACGCCAGTGGGAGGGCAGAAAGCGGCGAAGCGGCTTTGGGATGTCAGGCTGGGCGATCTGGTTGGAAGAGATGCGGACGGGAGGGGGATGCTGAAAAGCCTTGAAACCCTAGAGAGGGAGTTGCGGGGGAGAGACTCAGCAAGTCTTGCGCTCAAGGCTTTTGCAGCTGCGCCGGAGGCCTGGAGGAATCAGCTCATTTCGGCTGTACTCCCGAACATGAGCTTTGCGGACGAATACGAGGTTGGCAGAGGGGGACCCCTACAGCTCCGGGCAAAACTGTTGGCGGAAGGAAAAGCAATTCCGCTGAGGTCGCTCAGAAAGTACTAGAAGCATGGCAACAGTGGACAGAACAGGCGGGAGAAATGGGCAAGTCGTTGGGGCGGAAGTATTGACTAGAAGCGGGCAGTTCAGATTCGGGAGTCACTTGTTACCCCGAGCCGGCCAAGAGATGTTCTGCTGCGGATCCACTGCCTTAATCTACAAGTAGGGGAGCGTCTGGAGTTTCTCAGCAGCAAACCAGTCTGTCCTCACTGTGGGAGTTTTGAGACACTGGAACACTGTCTTTTGGAGTGCCCGAAAACCCAAGGGGTGACTTCAGCGGTTAAAAAGGCGCTACGGATGATCAATCCAGGCAGGAAATGTGACTCGCTCGGTGATTGGCTGTTTGGCAAAGCCGAGTCCCAGTCAGCATTTCCGGAGGCTACACTGGTTGCGATTGCCCTCCATCAGCTATGGGCGGAAAGGTGCGAAAGGGCCTTTCGAGGCTGTAAATTCCGCACGCGAAGGGTATTGCGGAGAATTGAGTCGGCCCTCCGCATGCAAGTGAACGTTTACCTGCGTGCTTCTGCGACAAGGATGCAGCAGCGTGGGAAGGAACAGCAAGACAGGTGGCGGAAAATGACAGTGCAAGAGCGTGATCTTCTGAACCGTATCAGAGTGGTGGATGGCAAAGGTTGGAAGTGGTCCAACAGCTTCGCAGCAGTTTGGGGCAAACCTCGTAGGCCCCGGATCCATGCTTGAGGATCAAATATTCTGAGGCGGGCTCCCCTGTCTCTCATGCACAGTTACGACTGTTTATGCGTTGTACACTTGTGTTCTGGTGTATAATTCATATAAGCAAAAAAAAAAAAAAAACCGCGCTGTTTGATGTGTTGGCGAAAATCCGAGGCACTCTTGTGCGATTCGCAGGGAACTGAGGGATACGTGCGTGGGTTTCGCCCAGGGTGAAACACCCGGCCTACTACTCAAATCCGGGTGGAGTTTTCGGTCCACCCTGCAAAATACGGGCTTCCGCGATTGTGACTCGGCCCACTTCAGGGTTCTAATGTTTTTTAGGCTGCTGTGGCCGGACGAGTGAATTCTCCACTCGGCCCTTGGCCCAGCGCTCGTCACTTTTGTCGCGTTAACAGATATGGTCCCCTTCTGTGTCTCTCTTGTACTTAGCCAAACATGCGAACTTCTGACTCAATAATGACAAAGTACTTGTCTGCGAGTAACGATGATGGATTAGTATGAATTTGCGTAAGTCCTTGACTGTGAGTATGAAATGTGGATCAGCTTGAAATTTGGCGAAGTCCTTGACTGAGACAGAGGATTGGACTAGCAAGACTGGATCAGCCCTAATTTGGTTAAATCTACGACATGTGACTGCACATACAGGAGCCTACGGAAAAAAGTTTCCCAAAACCCACACGGCCCAAAACATGTGTACAAAGAAATCTACCCGGCCTCCACCCGGATTTTTTAGCGCGCCACCCGGCCCAGCCGAGGGGCGCGCGGATTTCACTCTTTTTTGGAAGAGTGCCTTCAAACGAAAAATGAGCCCTGGTTTCGCCACGGTGGGGTGGGGTGTACGGCGGGGTGTCCTTCATGCCGAACTGGCTCGGCCTCCACCTTCGTTCGGAACCACTTCAGAGCCTTCCGAGCCTCTTCTAGACCGACATCCTCGCCTAGCTCGAATCCACTACATTCTGTAGTTTTTGAATTCTGTGCATTTTAGCTCATAATATTGTCCTATCCCATAAATGTTTCCAAACCCCAAATCTTCACTTCTACTTGCATTCCCAAATATCTCAACAGCCCAGATTCTAATGTGAACGCACGCAGTCCCGCTTAGAGCACGCAGCGCGCGCATTACCCGCTTTTGATGGAGATGCACCTCCCGCCTTCCCTCTCGTCGCCTAGCGGTCTCACTCGATTCTCCTCCCTCGCACCGTTCTCCCGGTTCCACGCTTTCTCCGCCTCTCGCGCGTTCCTATTCCCTCCGCACGCGTCCTTGCGCGCTCTGAGCACCCCGCGCCAAACACCCGTTGCGCAGCCCGCTCCTTCTCCCGACGGCGTCAGATCGTGCCTCCGCGCGCCCTCTTCCGCCGGCGCTCACTTCCGCTGCACCCCGCGAGCAAGCGGAGGCTGGCGCCGGTGGCGGTCGGATGCGCGCGCGGGGGGGCGTCAGGCGGCGGCCTGCGCGAATGGGGCGAACGGGATCGCGGAAGGGTTGTCGGAGCGGGAAGGTGGCGCAAACGGTAACGCTCGCAGCTGGGCGCCGCCGCGGCTGAGGTGAGAGCGGGGCGGGGGAAAAGAAGGGGGGGAGGGGAGAGGGGAGCCGCACTTGGTTGGCGGACAGGTCGCACGAGGCATTGGGGAAGCGGAGAGTGGCATGTGCGCTGGCTGCTTGGGATTGGCGCAACTTAGGGCGCGGATGCGATAGAGGCGAGCGGCGATTGAGGCCCGGGGAATGCTAGGGCAGCATGGGCGACAGGGGCGGGCATTGTGACAGTCACGTGTCTAGCATTCGCGAGTGAGTTTGGAAGGAGGTTTCCCATCGCGAGGCGGACGGAGCAGAGGCGAGGCGACGCGAGGCGAAGGGAGTGAATGCAGAAGGTGCGGCGGCAGAGTGGTAAGACGTGTGGCGTGTGGCCGTCGCTGTGATAGGCTTCTCTCGCTTATCGAGATCGCTTTTAAGATTACCCAGAACCGCATTCATAAAACAGCAATCCCAGTATAGGCCAGTGTAGGCTCTCGCTCATTGTGACAGGCAGCCATAACATTCTCGCTCATTCTCTCTGACTCCCATTCCCCCGCGCCGCACGCTCTCTTTTCCTCCCTCCCCCCCCCCCTTCTTCGACCACCTATTCTGCGCCCCTCTCCGTGTTCTTCCCCGGTTGCACTTCTCCAGTCCTCCTGGGGGGAATCGTCTGGACGTACACCTGCTGCCACTCCACACGGCCCTCTGCATGCCTGCCTGCCTGCCCTCATTGTTTATGCCCCCCCACCCCCTTCCCTTCCTACCCTGACCTCTTCCTTCCCGCTTTCCCCCTCTCCCCCTCCCACCCTTTCCCCCCTCAGCGTGGGTGGCCCCTTGATGGCCCAGACAGATTGCCACATCAACTCCATGTCCCTTCACGGCTAGGTTCTAATTCCTCCTCTCCTTCCCCTCCCCTCCCATTTTCCTTCCCCCTTCCTCCTGCCCACCCAAACCCCTCCCCTTCTCACCAGCATCTTCCCCCTCCCTCCTCTCATCACCCCACCCTCCCTGCTCCTTTCTCTTCCCCCTCTTCCCCCACCATCGCCCGTTTCCTCTTCTCCTAATCCCACCCTCGCTCTCCTCTCCCCTGGCAGGGTGGCGCCCATGATGGACTGGACGGATTGCCAGTACCGGCAATTCTTTCCCAGTGCTTATTGCACCTCAATATTATACCCACCATGGACTACTCCCCCCACCCCCACCACTGTCCCTCTCCGCTCCCGCCTCTCCCCGCTCTCCCGGCTCCTTCCTGCCAGCGTGGCGCCCATGATGGACTGGACGGACTGTCATTACCGGCAGCTGGCGCGGCTGATGAGTGCACACACGTGGCTGTATACAGAGATGGTCGTAGACAACACGCTGCTGCACCAGCAGCCGCACCTGGTGAGACGGCGGGGTGTGTGAGGGTGTGTGTTTGTGGGGGGGGTATTATCCGAGATTGTATGTGTGTGTGTGTGTGTGTGTGTGTGTGTGTGTGTGTGCCCGTGTATTTGTGTCTGTGTGTGGTGGGGGGAGAGGTGGTGGGTGGGTGGGGGGGACTGTGCAATGGTATTTCTAAAAGTGTCTTGGTTATGGATGGCATGGTTACGGACGGCTGATGAGTGCGCACACGTGGCTGTATACAGAGATGGTCGTAGACAACATGCTGCTGCACCAGCAGCCGCACCTCGTGAGAGCGAGGATTTCTAACTTGTCTTTGTGGAAGTGTGTGTTTCTGGGGCTGATGAGTGCGCACACGTGGCTGTACTCAGAGATGGTCGTTGACAACATGCTGCTGCACCAGCAGCCGCACCTCGTGAGACGGCGGTGTTTGACGCGTGTTTGTGGGGTGTGTGCTTGTGGGCTTGTGTGTGTGTGTGGGGGGGAGAGAATGTGCAATGCATGAGCTGCTGAAGTCATCACGAATCCGTAAGAATTGGGCGGTGTACTTGTTCCCGTGCTCCCATGCTCTCTGGCTCCCATGCTCTCTGGCTCCCATGCTCTCTGGCTCCCATGCTCTCTGGCTCCCATGCTCTCTGGCTCCCATGCTCTCTGGCTCCCATGCTCCCTTCCCTCCTTTGCTTCCTTGCTCCCTTCCCTTGAGTTCTTGCTCGCTTGCTCCCTTTCTTCTCTGCGCTCCCACACCCAACCCAACGGCCCAGGATATCTAAATCCATCCTAACCACTTCCTTCCTCTCCCACCCCCTCTCCTCTCCCACCCCCTCTCCTCTCACAACCCCTCTCCTCTCCCACCCCCTCTCCTGGCCACCCGCCACCAGGACCGGTTCCTGCTCTCTCCGCCCACCCAGCACCCTCTCGTGCTGCAGCTGGGCGGCAGCGACCCTCCCTCGCTCGCAGAGGCCACGCGCCTGGCGCTGCCATTCGCTTATGATGAGATCAACCTCAAGTGAGTGAGACCTGCTGCCTGCTCGCTTCACATGCCTCCTGACTTTTGAGTCGACTCAAAAGTCCCTCGCTCGCAGAGGCCACGCGCCTGGCGCTGCCATTCGCTTATGACGAGTTCAACCTCAAGTGAGTGAGATCTGCTGCCTGCTCGCTTGCTTGCCTGTTCTGATAATTCTCAAAACCGACCTACAAAACAGTGGCCACGTGCCTGGCTCTGCCATATGCATACGATACGACGGCATCAACCTCAAGTGAGAGCGTTCTGCTTGTTTTCTCGCCTTGCCTCCTGTTATTGAGGCGCCTCTCAAAGAACCCACGTGCCTGGCACTGCCATCCATATGCATACGACGACATCAACCTCAACTCAAGTGAAAGCTGCTGCCTGTCTGCTCGCCCGCATTGCCTCCTGCTGCTTGCCCTTGTAGCCTCCGCACTGCACACATGCGCACTGGATGGACCCACTTTGCTTTGTGTTCCCAAGGATACTGTAGGCAGCCTACGCCCAGGCGTCTGCAGCCTATGCCCGCCCGTTCATAGACGTCTTCCCTCTCGTTTCCGTGGATCTTATAGCCTTTGACTGCCAGTTTCGCTGATGAATTGCTGATCACCTTGCAAGCAAGCACTCCCACCCCACCGACAATGTCCCTTTGCCTTTCACCAGCAAGCGAGCTGCTGATTGACTCATTCTCGTCCCCCCATGCCTTGTGAGTGATTTTTGAAAATTCTAAAAAATGTCCCTTTGCCTTTCACTAGCAGGATGCTACTTCATTCTCGTCCCCCCATCCCATGCCTCTGCTGTCGTGCAACGCTCCCTTACAACATCGTATTGCCGTTGATTTCCCCTCCGTTCTCCTGTCCTCCCCTCTCATCCCCCTTCCTCCCTCCCCTTCCCTTCTTCTCTCCCCACCCACCCTCCGTCCACACCCTCCCCCCCTCGTCTCCTCCTTCCCCCGGCCTTTCCCCACCCCTGCCCCTCACGCCAGCTGCGGCTGTCCCAGCCCCGCCGTATCAGGGCATGGCTGCTTCGGTGCGCGCCTCATGCTCTCACCCAAGGTGCATCAAATCAAATCTCTCTCGCGCCTGGTGTTGCGCCCTTGTGCAAAACTTTTGAGAGAACCACGTTGCCATGCCACTCCCTTGCGCACTGCCAACTCCTCTTTTCACCTCCTGCATGCTCTGCTCCCATCCCATCGCATCCCAACCCACCCCATCCCATCCCATCCCATCCCATCCCATCCCATCCCATCCCATCCCATCCCATCCCATCCCATCCCATCCCATCCCATCCCATCCCATCCCATCCCATCCCATCCCACCCCACCTGCTCCCAAGCAACCATGCCATCCTGCACTCGCGATTCCCCCATGTCCACATGGCCCCATTCCACCCATGTTCCCATCCCATGTCCGTGTGCAAGGCAGGGCACCTCACACTCGTCGCTCGCCCTCCCTCCACTCCCCTTCCCCCTTCCTCTCGTCTCCCCACAGGTGGTGGCGGCCATATGTGCGGCCATGGGGGAGGTAGCGGGGGCAGCAGGCGTGCCAGTGACAGTGAAGTGCCGCATAGGCGTGGACGACTGCGACTCGTACGAGCAGCTGCGTACGTGCTGTGGCTCTGGTAGTGTGCAAGGGGAGGACGCTTAGGGGAAATGTGTGGGTATGTTGAAGGGAGGATGCTTAGGCGTGCCGGTGACAGTGAAGTGCCGCACAGTTGCGGACGACTGCGACTCGTACGAGCAGCTGCGTATGTGGTTAGCTGCGTATGTGGTTAGCTGCGTATGCGTTTGACTCTCGTGTTTCCTGCCAAAACCTTTTCCCTCTGCCTGGTCACCCTGCTCCAGTTCCCTTTCCCGGTTCCCGTCACCCACACATTGTCTTTTTTTTTCCTCCTTCTTTCCTCATATCCACCCAATCTCACTCTCCTCCATGGGTCAATTTTTGAGAATTTTCAGAATCCTCCTCCCCCCTCTCCCCCCCACCCCAACCCCCATCACCATCAACCCCCCCCCCCCCCCCCCCTCCCCACCCCCTTTCCCCTCCCACATCGTTCACCAGACGAGTTCATTCGACAGTGTCATCGTCGCTCTCCCCTGTGCGTCTATGCTCCCACCAGGTATCCTCAATATCATCCCCTCCTCCCCCTCCCACCACCCCCAAACCCCCATGTCCCACTCCACCAGACGAGTTCATATCGAAGGTGTCGTCGCTCTCCCCTGTGCGTCACTTCATCATCCACGCGCGCAAGGCGCTTCTCAAAGGCCTCTCGCCTGCACAGAACCGAACCGTGCCGCCCCTCAAGTGCGTACGTGCCGCCCCTCAGGTGCGTACGTGCCGCAAAAATGCAGGTCAATGGAAGCACGTATGTATGCTTATGAATCATGTAGTTTCCTCAGATTCTTGATATGTCTCCACAGAACCGCCTTAAAAGGCCTCTCATCCACTCTGCTCGTCTCTGCCAATGTCACATTCCAATGTTTCTCCACCCTGGGCCGAGTTGACTTTTGAGTCGACCCAAAAATTCACTCTGCTCGTCTCTTCCAATGTCGCATTCCAATGTTTCTCCACCCTGGGCCGTCACATTCCCCACACACCCACCCACCCACCCACCCGTGCCATGCGCCACCCCATGTGCATGCAGATACGAGTATGTATTTGCACTGCTCCGTGACTTCCCCTCCCTCTCCTTCACTCTCAACGGCGGCGTCACTTCCCTCGAACAGGTCGGTCCAGCCTGCTCCGCTTGTTTTTACCTGCCGTTTTCTCGTGATTCAACTGCCTGTCTAACTGCCTGTTTCACTGCTTCTTTGCTGCTTCTGGCCCCACCACAGTATTTTCCGCCTGTCTTTGTTGCTGCTAGCAGTCGATCATGCATGTCTATGGCGTGATGGACCATCAATGATGCAATGCCCAAGGGATCCCTTTTTGTTGCGCCCTCGTTCCTTGTCTCTGCTTTCGCCCTCTACTTGTTTAGTTACGTCTTTTTTTTATTTCCCCTCTACCCACCCAATGTCTCGCGTGACTCCCCGCGCCCCTATGTTCCTCCACCAGGCCAGTGAGCTGCTTGCTAAGGGCGTGCATGGAGTCATGATCGGCCGGGCTGCTTACAACACGTCAGTCTGCTCTGCCCATCCCCCCCGCTCTCCTCCCTCCCTCCCTCCCTCCCTCCCCCCGCTTCCTCCCTTCCCCCGCTTCATCCCTCCCCCCTCCCCCCTCCCCCTGCTCCCTCCCTGCACCCCCGTCCCGCTCCCTGTCTACCTCCCCTGCTCCCCCCCTCTCCCCCTCCATGTCCCTCTCTCCCTCTCCCCACTCCTTCCCTCCCTCCCTCCCTCCCTCCCTCCCTCCCTCCCTCCCTCCCTCCCTCCCTCCCTCCCTCCCTCCCTCCTCCCTCCCTCCCTCCCTCCCTCTCCCCTTCCCTAGACCTCCACACTCTCTTTCGTCCCCTGGAGTGCAACCATGATGTACTCGTACTGTATGAACGATTTTTGAGAATTCTCAAAAATCGCTCACGAGGAGTGCAACCATGTACTTGTACTGTATGCTGCTGGACATGCCTATGCACCCCATGCATTTCCAATTATGTGTGCCTCGCCTCAACCACACACACGTACACATAGCCGCCCATGCATGCACCTGCACAGGAATGCCACTCTCAAGCATGTGTGCTTTGCTTTGTCATCTCCTCATCTCCTTGCATGCTCGCATCGCATGCTCACACGCTATTAGCCCTTCCTGTTCCCACCAGCCCATGGCACATCCTCTCCTCTGCCGACACAGCCATCTTTGGGGCTCCCAGCAATCCTTTGGAGTCCAGACGACAGGTGTGCAAACCTCTTGTGCCCGCTTTAACACACAAGTGAGGATTTAAACACACATGTCTGACTGGGCTGGCGGATCTGGCTGGGGCCCTATTGAGAACAGTGGGCTGTGTTTATCTCAAATCAAGTCGAAAATATGTCAATGTTCATTAGTAGGTAGTAACCCAGGAAAGCGTTGACCACACTTCCCAGCGTGCATGCATGCACACACACACACACACACACACACACACACCCACGCACGCACGCACGCACGCACGCACGCACGCACGCACGCACGCACGCACGCACGCACGCACGCACGCACGCATGTATGTACACGTGGCTACCCCTCTCCTCCTTTCCCTCTCTCCGAGTACCCTCATTCTGCCCTTGACCAGTTCCACTTTAAAAAACTGCCATCCATGTCCCTCTCTCCCCCTCCCAGCTGCTGCATCTGTACGCGCAGTACGCCGACTCAGCAGTGAACCAGTTTCACCTGAACTGAGGCTTTCAAGCTCCTCAAAAAGTTGTGGTCCATGCCCTGCTTGCTGCCATCTCTCCCCGTATCCCTCCCAGCTGCTGCATCTTTATGCCCAGTATGCCGACTCAGCACTGAACCAGTTTGGCCCGGGAAGGCCCAACGTGCGCACGCTAGTCAAGGTGAGTGGCATACGCGCAGGGGGCAGGAGGCATGGCAGTGTGACAAGGGGGAGGGAATGACGTTGGGCGGGTTTGTGGGATGTCATGTGTAAAGTCAGGTGTTTACTCAAGGGCATGTGCAGGGGACAGGAATGGGGGGTGGCAGTGGGAGGGTGCATGGGATGTGACGTGTGACTTGGGAAAAAACTGTGGGTATTGGGGTGGGGTGGTGGGTGTCAAGAACTCATGGCAGGTAGGTTCGAAGTGACACTATTCTGATGTGACTGAACTGCAGTGAGTGCTGCACAGGTTCTGCCAGCGGCTTCCAGCCTTGTAGGCTAGGAGAGCAGCAGTTGAAATGCTCTTTTAGCAGATGTAAAGGGACTTTCTGCGGTCTCGTTCTGAGGCCTACTGTGTGGCCTGGACGATGCATCAGTGCCAGGCCTGTGCCATGCGTACACGTGCATGGCTGTCCCTGTGATGATGGGCACTGCTCGACCCATTCAATCGACTTCTGAGTCGACTAAAAAATTACTTCTGAGTTGACTAAAAAAATACTTTTGAGTCGACTCAAAAATGATTTATGAGTCAACAAAAAAGTCGTCCCTATGATGATGGGCACTACTCGACCCACTCAAACCATGCAGCTCCCACGTGTTTTTTTTTTTTTTTTTTTTTTTTTAGAATTCTCAACTGCACCCTTTTCACTACGTGTGGAGCTGCTCTCCTCGCTGCCTACTTCAAGTCTTGTTCTTCCGTGTGGTCATGACCTACTCATCCCACTCTCCCTTCTCTCCTCTCTCTTAGGCATGAGCAACAGCATAAGTCTTGCTTGACTCGTTTTCACCTGACTCGATCAAGTTTCCATCTCTCCCCCCCCCCCCTCTCCCTCTTCCCTCTGCTATGCATACCCTCACCTCACCATACTCGATGCATTCTTTCTTTGTCACAATTATAGTGTTGCCATAGTCCACTCATGTATTGTCTCTTTCCCCCGCCCAACCCGCTCTCTCTCCTCTCCTCTCACTCCCTCTCTCCCCTCTTTCCCCTCACCCTCCTCTCTCCCCTCTCCCCTCTCTACCCTCCCTCGTCTCTCCCTCTCTTCCATCGTTTTCATCCCTCTCCTCACTCCCCTTTCTACCTTTCTCTCTCGTATATCCCCTCTTCCCATCTCTCCCCTTTCTTCGCGCTCTTCCCTCTCTCCCCTCTCACCCATCTTACACCTCGCTCCCCTCCCTCTCCTCTCCACCCATCTCTCCCCTCGCTCCCCTCTCTCCCCTCTCTCCCCTCGCTCCCCTCGCTCCCCTCTCTCCCCTCGCTCCCCTCGCTCCCCTCTCTCCCCTCGCTCCCCTCTCTCCCCACTCTCTTCTCTCTCCGCTCGCTCCCTTTCCTTCTCGCCAGCCTCTGCTAGGTCTCTTCCACTGTGAGGCGGGGGCGGGCAAGTGGAGGAGACTCATTGACACTGAGATTAGACAAGCCAAGGTCAGATTGTGCAACATTTTCCTCCCTACCCCCTCGCCCCTCGCCGCTTTCTACGTCCTGTAATGGCACTGCAGCTGCTCATGTCTAGAGGTATTACGTGGCCTTGCAAGGCCTTTTATCAGGAACATCTCATCTCGTTTCATCCTCACAATCGGTTTTCCAACACCTGGTTTCGCATCAGAAAATTATCATCATCTTCCCGCTTCCAGCCTTTTCTTCATTACAAGTTCATCCCACTCAAGCAGTTGGTTTTGTCACAAACCTGCATCCCAACCCAACCTCCTCCAACCCCCCCCACAACCCCCTTGTTCTCATCAGACGGTGGAACAGCTCCTCTCTCTCACCCTGCATGCCTTCCCTCCCCACGTCCTCGACGCCCCCCCTTCCTCCTTCCTCTCACCCCAGAAGACACCCCCTTACACAGCCCGAGCCACAGTACCCCCTGCTTCAGCCCCTGCTCTCTCTTCTGGTGGTTGACCCTTTGGTGGTGGAATGGAGAGTTTGGAATTAGGGAAACAGGGAAGGGAACGTTTCTTGACCTAAGAACAATTCACTCGTCCACGGGTGGGACTTTCTCTTCATGTATGTTGTAGCATGTTTCTAAAGGTTGCAGCTTCTGATTTGAGACCACTGATACCAGTAGCAGCTGACCAAGTGGAAGAGTAGCAGTAGGGAAACATACCGGTAATCCGTTTGTGAATGCTGATGCTGCTGGTGCAGCCGGTGAGTATGGATGGTGGTGAGGTGGTTAAGGTCACTGGAGAGGAGAGAAGTGACAGAAAGGCTGGGGAAAATGATGAAAAGTGGGCGGGGGTGTTGAGCGAGGGGTGTTACACTTTCGCCCAACCCTTCGCTACACTTTGGTTTCCAAAGACCCAAGTTGCAACCAGCTTGTTCACAAGTTTTTTATCAGCACACCATCAAGATTACTAATCATGCCCTGCGCGATCCGAAATTTGGGCCTTGAGCTTTAAGGAGAGGAACGATGGCGACTCCGCACAAGAGTCGGCGGGAAAACAAAAAAAATGGTCGCAGCAGAAGATTTAGCGTTTGTGTTGTCACTTTGTCAAACTTTTACAACATCTAAACTTTACAATGCCACGGATAGTGTTTATGAATGAACTTTCCGAGTGCGCAGAAAAGGTCAAGGGGGGGGGTTTTAAGGAAAAACAGCTTGGTTCATTTTGGGCGGTCGAGGTGGTTGGCTCCTGCCCTTTCCGTGCTCCGCGACGCGACTGCGTCAGTAATGTTAGGGGGCACCACAATCACGAAGATGAGCGGCAAGTTAGTCAACCGAATCGCCTGCCTAGGCCAAATTCAAAATAGCGACAAACAAAACCTCCATAGTCAACGCCCGACAGCTGGACAACGGACACGGGTGTTCATTGTCAACGCCGCACGCTGAGCACGCCGCCGTTCGCGGCATCCGTAGTCAACCCGCCCCAGTCGGTTTTCTTCCTACTACAGTAAGGTTGACCGTGTTCTGTACAGCCATTAATGTCTGCACCGCACACACCACGGACGGAAACCTTCGTCGTTGGCGATGTAGAGTTTTTTTGAGAAGATTCTAAAAAAAAACTCTACAACACCACGGACGGAAACCTTCCGTCGTACACGATGGGGTGTCGTATTGACACTCAGCAGTGGGCGAGGTTGAGAGAAAGGCCTTGTTCGGGAGTGGGTGAGGGGGGGAAGGAGAGGAGAATGGTGCATGAAGATGTCCCATGATGGGATGGGGGATCGTACGGCCCCTGCTCCACAGAAAGTTCCGCTCAGAGTCTGGAGAGTCTCCAGAGTTTCAATCTGAGCTAGTAAAACAACTACAAGTCTGCTTCCGTTCCTTTCCGAATGATAGTACGCTGTGGCGAAAATATGGCGGTACGGGAGTTTGTAGGAGCTACTACTATGGCGGCGCGACTTGCATGTGTGTTGGCCGTGCTGCTGCTTCTGTCGAGCGGCGGCACTTGGCCGGGCGGCAGTCAGCCGCCGGGGAACCAATCTCGCGGCGTCACGGTGCACGCAAGCGCCACCATCAAGCCAGCGCAAGGTTGGCACCGCTGCGCTGCTACCCTGAAGTAGAGAGCCAACGGGGATGTTTGACGCCAGGGGGGGACGAACGCCTGTGGCCTGTGTTAATGGGCATTTCTCTGCGCCAAATATCACCCTCCTAGTGACCCATTGGATAGCGAGGCGTTATATTCAAGACTGTCAATTTTGGTGGCACTAACCACGATCAGTTTCCCCACTGCCCTGGCCACCTCACCGCCGCCCGCCCCCCACAGTGTCAGCGCTGTTAGCCATCAAGTCCGCGCTGGGCCTGACGTTCACCTGGTCACTCACTACTAGCCCCAGCTGCGTCGTCCCTCCTACGGCGATTGCGAGTACTGATTGGGATAAAATCTCCTGCTCCAGTGCCGGGGACGTGACTATAATGTAAGGCGGCTACTGCTGTGCTTTTTCATGCATGCTTGCTGTCGTTCATGTTTGCTTTTGCTAGCTGATATATGTTATAGTCACAATAGGCTTGAATGTGCCTAAAACGAAAGATAGAGAGCACAGACGGATTTCTGCACAGAAGCTTCAAACGTTGATAGCGTTCTGCTCACAGCTGCAAATGACTTGATTCAAATTGGATCTGGAGCGTCTTTACGTCGTCTACAATTAGCAATTTAGATTGCACGATTTGATAAAGAATTGACGACACAGCGTCGGTTTGAACGAACGGTACTATGGCAGCCACTATAGTCTTAGAACACAAGATAGGAAGAGTTACGAGTTGGGAATGACTCCCAGCTCCTACAAACCCCAAGAGCCGAGGTACAGTGATGTGAAACAGTGCCACACTGTCCCCAACCACGAAGGGTCTCGAAACTACCCTTCACTAGGGCCTACACCAAGTGAAATGTTACACTACACAAAGTAATGTAAATATCTTCAATATCTTGAGGTGTACCCTTTTTGGCGAGCTTCGAAATCACTTGAGGCTTGACACCAAGGCTCGGGCTCTTCATCACAAACTCATCCTTGAGTTCTTGATGGGTCTGCTGCACACACCTGCGACACGCCGAACGTTCGACACAGGACAAAATAGAAACCGCGCACGACAAAATAGAAACCGCGCGCGAGACACAAACGACGCGTAACACGCGTCTAGCGATAACTCGCTATTGACTCGACACACACACTCGACATCATGACTCAACATTCACACACAATTATAAGCATGAAATATATATTATCCCATGCCCTCATACCATTCCATACACACACACATTCACGCACACGGACAACAAGCCGAGTGCAAACCGTAGGGTTGCACCAACAAACTCCCCCTCGGATTGTTGGCCTTAGGATATGTTGCTCTCTCAGTTCAGAGCCATCCCAGCCAGCTTGCAACACTTCCAATGCTGCTGCTCCACCAGCCTCTTGGTCATCATGTCAGCCGGCTGCCCCGTGGTCTTCACGTAGCGCAACTCAACTTCACCCGCGGTTACCATGCTCCTCGTCCAATGCCACTTCACCCTCATGTGCTTCGTGAGTCCATGCAACACAGGGTTCTTAGCAAGAGCAATGGCACCCTGGCTGTCACAGTACAGTGGGGTAGGTCCTTGCTGCTCCTCCCCCAATTCAGCCAACAAACGCCGCTGCCACAGAATCTCCCGTACGGCACGGAAGAGTGCCATGTACTCGGACTCCACCGAGCTCAAAGCTTGGTCAACCTGCTTCTTGCTCTCCCAAGCAGTTGGGCCTCCACCAACACAGCATATGAAGCCTCCCACACTTGTCATGTCCTCTGGTTCTGATGCATATGAAGCATCCGAGTAGGCGGTGAGGAACAAACGCCCGGGTTCAACACCATCCGCGCCCTTTTGGCGCCTTTGTGCCGCCGCCGAGTATTGCAGCCCAACGGTCGGTGTTTGGCCAGGATACTTGGCCACCCTCATTCCAGCTGCTACCTGCTCCTCATTAGGGCATTGCACAACCCTAGCCAGCTGCCCGGTAGCAAACGCGACGTCCGGTCGGGTGTTTACCGCCGCATACATGAGGCTGCCCACCAACGAGTGAAATCGGCGCCTCTCCTCTTCACCAACGCTCTCCTCCTCTGGTCCCTTCACACACTTGAACCCAGAGGGAAAGGGTGTAGCCACATGGCCTTCACTCTGCCCAAAGTTGGCAGCCAATGCCTCCAGGTACTTTCGTTGATGCACCCGCATGCACCGCTTCTCCACATCTCGTTCGATGTGGAGCCCAAGGTAGAAGCTCACGTCACCAAGGGCCTTGCACTTGAACTTGTCTTGAAGCTTCAGCATCACCTCCTTCACAAGGTCAGAAGAGGGTGAGAAAATGAGGATGTCATCCACATAAACCACCATGAAACTCCTCTGCTCCCCCTCGCCAAACATGAACAAGGAGTGATCGGCCGTTGAGGGAGTGAAGCCGATCCCAACACTTCGCGCAGCTTCATGTACCATTGCCTAGGGGCCTGCTTCAGCCCATAGAGGGCCTTCTTCAGCTTCCACACTCTGCCACTACCATCATCAAACCCCTCTGGCTGCGCCATAAAAATCTCCTCCTCAAGGATGCCGTTAAGGAATGCCGTTACGATGTCCATTTGCTTTACTACCCATCCTTTGATGGCGGCTCCCGCGAATAGGGTTCGCAGCGTCGTCGGCTTCACCACAGGGGCAAACAGCTCCTTGAAGTCCACCTTCTCCTTCTGCTGGTACCCCTTGGCTACAAGCCTAGACTTGTAGCGCTCGATCTTGCCGTCGGCATCCGACTTGATTTTGAAGAGCCACTTGGACTGCGGCCCGCCCGCCACCCTACCTGCGGCCAGCCCGCTGCCCTACCTACGGCCCCCCCCACCGCCCTACCTACGGCCCGCCCGCCGCCTTACCTGCGGCCCTACCGCCGCCCTACCTGCGGGAGCTGCCTAGCAGCAGAACCGCCGGGAGCCGAGCCGCCCTGCCGCCGAGCCGCCCGGGAGCCGAGCCGCCCTG